CGATATATGTTTTATCTGCCAGGTAGGAAATACTTCTCTCTGCCGTAGTGATGGCATGGTGATTCCAAGCTTTCTGGCGAGTTCTATACACAGTGAATTTGTCGATTTGCGTCCAACAATAACTAATTTGCTTGAATTTGTATCACATGTATCAACGGGTTTTAGGGAGAATAAGAATACTGATGTTATATACACAGATTTTAGTAAAGCTTTTGAAAAAGTAAACCATACAATTCTTTTGAATAAACTTGATCTGCTTGGTTTTCAACCAGTATTTCTAAAATGGGTTGCTTCTTATCTTAGTAATAAAATTCAACAAGTCATATTTAACGATACTCTTTCCGACATAATCAATGTCCCTTCAGGCGTTCCTCAAGGTAGCCATCTTGGACCAATTCTGTTCTTGTTATTTATTAATGACATATCTTCTGTTGCTTGTTGCTGACGATGTGAAACTTTTTAAAACGTATACTTCATACAGCGAAAGATGTCAGTTGCAAACAGACTTAAACAACCTAGTTTCTTGGTGTGTTAGAAATGACATACCATTGAACCTTAAAAAATGTAAAACGATGTGCTCTTTGCGTAGATCTGTAGACCCTACTTCATAGGTAATACAAAACTTTAGGTTGGAGCAAGTATGCAGTTTTGTTGACTTGRGAGTAACTATGGACCCCAAACTCAATTTTAATCTTCACACATCTTCCATGGTTTTTAAAGCTAAAGGTGTCTTGGTTTTGTTAAGCGCTGGTCTAAAGAATTTAGAGATCCGCTTACCACAAAAAYTCKTTKTACATCTTTGGTGAGGCCTATATTAGAGTATGCTTCCGTGGTATGGAACCCTTGTTATCAAGTAAAACTCATCAATGGGTCAGTCTGTAGCCCATCTCTCTTGTCTGATATTAATTTTAACATTCCCGCTCGCTCTACCAGGCATTTTAGACCTTTACTTTTAAAATTTAAAAATAAATCTAGAACAAATTTCGAGTTAAACGAACAATTCCGCCGTATATGTCACGATTTCAATTCTCATTCCAGCACATTTGATCTAACAGATTCACTCTTTACCATTAAAAAAATTATTTTATTTACTCTTAACAAGTAACATTTAAAAATTATAAACTTTAATCTAATTCTTAATTTTGGCAGTTGAAATTTTTGTTTCTGTAGCTGAGCAGCTTAAGATCGCAACGCTTAAAACTCCCTTGCCTTTTATGACTCTGCTAATTCCGCTCGTTCGCGGATTGCGCCCCTCGCGTCGGTTGGGCGGGAGGAGGGTAATCGTTGGGTATTATGAATTTAGTCTTCGGCGCGACATTCCTAAAATACTGCTTTGCCCAACTTCTAAAGGCAGCACTAGCATTTGTTTTTAATCCTTCATTCCTTTTATTACATTCTTACTAGCTCTTAAGTTATAACGAATAATACCCAAACAAATATCTTCTGCTATTGGACGCCAAGCATTGCTCCCACATATATACATACATACATGTGTAACTTACAACCGTTAGGAGAACAAAACTATAATAGTTGCAAGAGTATAAAAACAATTTTGCACTTACAATTATTTGTCTGAGGTATGTAAGATTTCTTTTGAAAATTAAGTTAACTTATATCATTGGATATAATGTATTGCAGTTTAGTGTCGAAAATATACAACATCGGTCCCCGAATTTCAAGCATAAGTTTCAGTGCCCACTGCTAGGGGAAGTTTAATACCTCATGAACTTCCTGACCAATATCTATATTTGGTGAACAGATGACATCAGACTGCAACTATAAATACTAATCATATAATACAATATAAATTTCCTTGTTTTTAATGTTTTTTGTATCGTCTCCTATCAAAAATTTGTCGAAAGTGGACCTCAGATACCGAATATGAGGACCCAACTGTCTATGTCTAAATGATTTATATCGAAAGTGCCGTATATATGAGTTATCTTAATTAAACTCAGAGGTTATCTTTATCTCATCAGATAATGTGGTGGTGCCACTGCGACGCTATTTCCGGTGACCCCTCGGAAAAAAGTTGGGCTCGCGTTGGCAGCATAACTCTTTACAGGATCGTCTAAAGTAAAAAATACGTATTTTAGTTAAAACCTTAACTTAGAAATTAAACGAAGGAAAAATAATATATTTGCAGAGATCTCAAGGCTGTACCTCCGAAACTATTACTCGGATCAACTTGACAATTTACGATAATATTCTAGAGGTGTTGTAGAATTTAATAACACAATAAAAATCAATGTTTTGAAACCCGTAAACCAATGTAACCCCTTAAAATTTTAAATTGGTATAGATTTTCGTCACAAATCAAGTTCAGCAGTTAAATTTCGATACCTTAGTTATAATACTCATATAAATAGTTTGAAGGTAGATATGGTTATATATGCGCATATATTATAATCGAAAATATTAGTTATAAGTAATTACGTGTGTGAATAGCAAATAATTACTATTTTTACTGTTTTTTCAGGCTTCATTTTACTCGACAGCGTTAAAAACGTTAATATCTGTTTCGACTGTGATTCTTTTAGGTCTTATTATAGCTTACCATGCTTTGGAAGTGCAGGTGAGAGTGAGTGCAAATTTAAATTCCTTTTCAGATGTTACAATCAGCGTCCTCAGCATCATTGTCCTCGTAGTTATGTAATTCATGCATGCAAAACTGATGTTTTAGCACATACGGCATACATAATATTGTTTGTCACCAGCTTGCACTATTATAATTTTAATTAAACAATAAATAAATATACATATAGTACAGGTCCATATGTAGGTTGCTATAACATGATGAAACTTAAACGCCTGTTCGTGATGAATACACACTTTACATTCTTAACCAAAAAATAAATAAAATAGAATTGGGGAACACAAATTGTATATTTCCAAAATCAACACGGTAGCATTAAACAAACAATTCTATCGGTTATGTTTGCTACTGTTTCATCATAACAACTATATGTGTAATTTATTATTCGTTAGACTAAGTCTGCTAAAACATTTGTGTCGCTAAATTCTTTAAAAGTGTAAAAACGACTTTGTTTGCTTTAAAACTACGGGAATATATAAAAAGTTGAAGTCTGAAATAAAATCCATTAAAAAAATGTGGTGCTTTTTATGATGTGAGGGAGCGCAGGAAAATTTTTTTTTTTAAGTATTACACATTTCATTTACAATGTATTTCATGAGTATTTTTCAATCCACTGCTTGTAAATATACCTTCCATAATCAATATTAGCTTTAAGAGGTTCTCCGCAACAAAAACACAACAGTTTTACATTGATTATCCATGTTTTAAAATGAAACTATAAATACAAAAGCAATGTATCCAACTCTTTCAAATCAGTTTATTTCTGAACCTGATATGTTCGAATTCATGAATCATTAATTAAAGACATTTTCTTGATATAAATAACATTTTCTAGCTTTTATCGGCAATTATTGTCAAAGTAGGTATTTAACCAAATCGACAAATATTATATTCATAGTTTGCATGACACACCTTTGCAAACATAAATAAATATTATTAAATAGTTTTGGTGACTACATTTTTTTTTTAATTTTACAGACAGTTTCTTTTAAGCCGAATTAAATCAAATCTGGCAGTGATTTTACGTCTGATTAATGGTTATATAATTACTTAAACAATTTATAGTGAACTAATTACACCCATTTAGTTAATAATCACCTGCTTACTATAGTCTTATGCTAATATCATTCAATCTACTAAACGTATTTAGAAGAAGATTGAATAGTTAATTTTAAATTTTTTGATAATACCTCTGTAGAGCGGTAATAGCTTTCTCGGAATACTACATTTTAAAAATGAACAGTACTGGATTTCTCGGTTCAAATTATATCCATTCTTCATGTATTACATCTATATAGTTATGGAGGAGATGTGTGCTCATTGCATAATGATTTTGGTTCATTAAATTATGATATTGTTATTTTGTGTATCCACATGAAAATTTCAGAAAAATATTTACAATCGAACGAAGACAATAAGATAAACAAGTAAAGAAGTCCTAAGTTTGGGTGCAAACGAACATTTTGTACTCTTGCAACTAACAGGACTCAAAGTCAAGGAAATATCTTCAGTTGTAAAACGTCAACCAGAGAATCGGAACCCAAGTATTTTATATATTTAAGATTAGTTAGAAAAACGAAATCATTATATAAGTAAGAGATATCCCCAACTCTCACCAATTGACTATTGACCCGATCTTATCTATTTTCTCGAGTAACATACTAGATGCCACATACTGAACAAACCTGGGTTTCATAAAATACCTCACATACAAACACCAATCATATGAAATAAAGTCAGCCGGATGTGTAAAATGCTGATATTAGACATATTGGCCAATTTAAGCAGTATAAAACATCGTAAGATTGAAAATCTGTATAATAGATATATGGGGCTGAGGGAAGTATTCAAGGAAGGTTTAATTGTATATCCCATACATTGACCGCTATTTTTGATCAAAAGTCAACTATATATACTAGGGATTTGGACAATTTTTGGTCATAAGGTTGCATACTCTTAAGGCGTTATGCGTACTATTCCGTGCGTATTTTATTCCGTGATCTTAATTGCTTCTTGAATTGTGTACTGAAAAGTGAAAGAATCGAATGGAATTTAAATTTGTGATATATGGGTAGTAGGCATGGTTGTATTCCGATTAGCCAATTTTCGCACTGTGACATAGGGAAGTGAGAGGAATGACACGATCTAAATTTAGTCGAAATCGGTCGGGTCGGTCCCGAGATATGGGATTTCATCAAAAAGTGGACAGCGTTACGCCCATTGCCCAATTTTAACACCGGCTCCTATTAAGACTTCTCATACCACATCGGAAATAAAATTTAAAATCTCTGACGTATTTAGCTATTGATCTATTATGCTTTTAGTAGTTTTTAACACGGGGGGAGAGCGGGATTGTCTTCCGATTTCATCGATTTTTTTTATACTCCTTGTTACCGCGATCCCTGTACCAATGTTTCTGTAGCAACATGTTGCAGGAGTATAAACTCAATAAGATAAAATTTTACTTAGTGAATGCCTGAGATGCCCAAGATACATATTACCAATTTTCGTACTCACGCGAATTAAAAGGAATTTCCAAATATTATAGAAATATTTCATGATGTTTGTTTTACATTGGACATAATAAGCAAATAACATTTAATTTTGGATCGGCAGGATACCGACTTTTTAGTTTGCACCATTTAAACCTGCTTACTATAAATAGTTATATATTATTATATAAATTCTCTATTTATATGTAATGCAGTTACTAGTTTCTTAAATTTTTTTTAAAGATTACGGTTGTCCTAGGATAAGTATCATTTCGGTGGTAGATTTTTATTTTTGCTAAAAGGACCATATTTATTGCATGATAAAATTAGTATTGTAGTCCATTGTTTTACTTTAAGCTCCATGATACAATCGATTAGATTTCATTAGATTTCCAGGCATAATCTTAGTTACTTAACATACAAGTCTTGCGATTTAACGATTCATTAACAAGAAAAATATATTTTAAGTGTATTTTGAACTGGCAAGGAGCTGGTATACCAAATAAATATCTGACTACCAGTCACATATATCTTCTTTAATTTTTCGTGATAGGCCAGCTCTACCGAAGTTAAAGTTTACATATACTATATATTTATTTAAGTTCAGCTGTTTTATAATTACTATGACTTGCAAGAGTCTGAAGTTTTTTACACCCGAACTTAGCTATTTCTTGTTTGTTAGATACATAGCCCTCCCAACACCTGAAAGTACTTCCCTTGCTTCGAACCTTGCAAGTGGCGAGGGTATAAAAAGTTCGCTTATCCGAACTTAACCCATTCCAACATTTTAATAAAGAATTTTTTGCTTTTAACATACTTATAGCGTGTACTACTCTCTTAATTTAACTGAATAAAGGCAAAAGAATACACCAACATAAGTGGTTTTATATAATTGAAGTATACATATATTTGGAACTAATTGTTTATAAGAAGCAACCCTTTTTTTAGTAAATATGCTAACTTTTGTTATGCCCTTTTATGAAGTTTATGCGGAACCGTTTTTACACCCTGAGAGGTTATATTCATTTTGTCTCAAGCTTGTAATGCCCAGAACAAAACATCGGCAAAAAATATTAAGGCTTTGTTCATAATTTTAAAATTCTTAATTTATTCTTCTTCGTCCCCCTCAAAGTAATTCGCCGTTTTTCACAATACACTTGTGCCAACGTTTTTCCAATCCTCGATACAGTTGTTAAAGTCAATTTCCGGAATAGCCTTCAAGGCATGTATCGATTCACATTAAATGTCTTCAGTTGACTGAAAACGGTTTCCCGTAGTGTTCGTTTGAGTTTGCTGAATAGCAATAGTAGGCGAATACGGTGATTGAGACACCAAATTGGTTGAACTCATGAGAGATTGATCGTCTCGAAATCGAATAAATACTTGCTCACAACAAAAAAATATCACCGAAGCAAATTAAATGTGATTCGGCAAAAAAATTTAATGCAACTCCTTTGTTAAATAATTTCACTCATCGTAAAAATAGCCAAACGCTAATGATTATTTTGATGTCACATTTGGCACAGATGAGGAAGGGAGAGGTGGTAAAATGTTTTAAGCTTAAAAACCGTTCACTTCGATTTCCAGTAAAAAAAAAGTTATGTACCAGTTGTAGAAAAATAAAATATCTACAAATATTGTGTGAAAAATTAATGCTACCAAGAATTGCAAGAAGTTGCTATAGAGTTTAATTGTTTTGTTCACTTAACGTTTGTTTACATTACATAAAACTAACGCGAATACACCCTCTATTGCGATAATTACCATAGCCGCCATATACAATAGTTTATTTTACTCCTTATAATGATTGCTGTATGTGAGGTATCTTTATGAAACTTAAAGAACAATTAATAATGATATGTAGTAATGTCGAAATTGATAAATTCGTGTTTACCACTCAATTTTGTGCATCACTTTTCCAATGTACCACTTTAACACCCTTATGTTAATGTATACCGAACATGGAAAGTTTGCCACGATATTTGTTTCACCCAAAAGGATAAGTCGCAGATCAGGGTGACGAGCTGAATCGATTATTTCTTTGTATTAATTAGTCTACATACCAAATTGTAATTAGTATGTATATCAAACTTGAAAAATTATCAGTGAAAAGACATAATAAGTGTTAATTTCAGTGCGCATTTCGTTTAGCCGAAAAGGTGGTAAAAGTCATTTTATAATGAAATGAAGAGGTAAGTGTATTTTTTTAGAAAAAATATTGCAACTGACATTGCATGGATTGTTTTGGTTTCATCTAAGTTATTATGTTTTGTTTTTTATACCCTTTAAAGCCATTCCGAAGGGACCCTACTTGTCAAACAAAGAGAAAGAAAATGGTATGAGTAATGTGGTCAGAGGTCTGAGAAAGTTATCAGAAATTATTTAAGATTGGGCAAGAACTATGGCCACCAAAAAAAACCAAAGGTAACAAAAAAATTACAGAGCGCCAAAGAGGTCAAATTAAGGTCCTGGCAAGAAGAAAAGTTA